CTAGCTTGGTTGCACCAAGTCAAAGCGTTGGCACTTCGACGTAGCACATGAGCAACACATACGAACTTTTAGAGTTCCTGATATTGAGGTAGGCAGCGGAAGCTTGGATAAAGGTGGTTAAGAAAAGTAAACAACAACACTACCTCGAGATAAAGAACTAAAGGACTTTCATCGGTTGACATCATTCAAGGTTTTTATATTGATCTATACGCACCGAGTTGATGCCCCCACCCATGATATTCAGTGGAGCTGCACTGCTGCTTCCAGTCTTTCGACAGTCTGCTGCAGTTAGCAGAAAGTTTTCAAGTGGGCATTTAATATATACTGGCTGAGGTGTGAAGCTGTTCTGATGAGGTGTCGGGGATACTCACTGCATCAGGAAACCGTGAATGTAGGACAAAACAGTACATTGCCTCTTCAGTGAGGTGGATGTGAAGAATAGTTAGAAGAACAATTGTGCTTCCCTTTGTCAAATACGTTCTAGTATCTAAAACCTGGGGAACAAAGCTTTGGTTTACTTATTCTAGCGCAGGAAACCAGAACTGCTTAAGTACCTGAAGGTACTCAGTAGTCAGAGATGGCAGCATTCAAGACCACAACTCAGTGCGCGGAATTTATCAGCTGAAGTCTCAGTCAATGAACCATTGAGATCCGTGTTCGGCACTTTACTCGGCTGTTGTGAATCCTCTACTACAATTTTAAAAACCCAAGAATTCAAACCGCGACATTAAACCTCAAATCGTACAACAATTTGGTCTACAGTAAACCTTGTCATTCTGGCCACCGGCCCTTATTAAATTTAAGGAGCCACAGTGTTACTGGCTGCCATCACTGCCACTACGATCCGTTTCCTTCTTCGTTAAACTGTTTACGTCGAGGTATCCGGAGCTGGGACTGAGAACCTAGATATCACTGTCGATTAACGACACAGTGATCAGAAGATACCTAACCCGGTGTTTAACCCATCTTCTGCTGAGGTTTTAGATTTTCTCCATTTGGACAAATCTTATAGAAAATTATGATAAAACACTCACATAAGGTTCGAATTTTGACGCAGCCCTCTTAAGCCAAAATGCGTTCCCAGTAATCGGAAAACCCGCCTATTAATGCAAATTCAAGCTGAGTCATAGTCCATAGATGAAGTGCCAAACCAAACGCCAATCTTAAGTCGCCCCTGGCCTAGATGCAATTAGTGTGTCTTATCGAGATCCAGCAGAAGCACACGCGTTGGTTTCGTTTTATTGCTCCTTCGGGTTTATAATCCAGTACCAAGATTACTTTTGCTGTTCTGTCACATATACTACGCTTCCATTACAGTAACCCTTTGTCATGTCACATGCACCCACATGAGCTCTTTGCAATTACAGTGTATTCATGCAAGGTTGATGTCACATGAGCAAGCCGAGTGCAGTATGAGTGTTTATAGTAGATAGAACTAACTATTTATTAGGCTTACTGTGTTCAAGATAACCCACTTAAATAACCTTAGATCATTATAACCAACTTAGTATTCTAAATTGATAAACATGAACAACTAAAATCCCTGTTGGTTGGTAGTAGTTACAAATTCCGCAAAGTAAACTTAGCAACTGCACCTTATATGTTTATAGGTGATAGTACTAATAACTCTCTCCCTCACCAACTGCTGTTACTCCTTTGAAGCCAGGTTTGTAGTTGCAATTATAAAGATTCACTTGCAACACAGTGTCGTCACTAAATTAATGAGAATCTGCATCAGTGGTCTCAATTAGCTACTCAAATCCTGCATTACCACCATCGTCAATGGCTATGCTATTGCTCGATAAATACGTGCTTAGCCACGCATACAGGACTTGATGCGTGGGACACGCTTTGAGCCAGTCAAATGGGCCTAAATGCAGCAATTTCACACGGTGATCTGCCGCGGCTTAGGCTGTTAGCGAGTCAGTAGGTGACGAAACTGTGAAGTGTGCGAAACAGAGCCTTCCTTTTTACTGTCCGTCGTACGAATTGTAGTGATGTGGGCTTTCATTCCATAATGAGCAGTATCAACAAAGAACAAAATGAATGACGCACACGCGGCATTTTAGTATTGAAAGTCAGTCTGAACTGTATATTAGTGAAATAACAAGAAGCTACATGAAGTTGGGATCTTACACAGTCCCATCACAAAGAAGATACATTCACTAAATTCATTAGCCCAACATTCTGTTTCTTGACTTAGATTTTCATCCGTGCCTCGTTACTTGATTTTACAGTTTGTCACCGCTGATGTAATATCGCACTGAACGTAGTGTCCACCTATGATATTTCCTGGACCTTTACAAGGACAATGCAATGATCAACAGATAAAAGAAGCATCTTGCCCGATGCAGGGGAATTTCTATTTCAGTATTTACTCACACCATAGTGTCGAATCATCTTCGCTCTTGCGAACATCTGAGCAAAATACTCACTAATGCCAGTCACCCTTTTCATTGTACATCATCGGAATGTACCTCTACGTCATCGACCAGACAAACATACAAAGCCATTTATGCCCGCACACGGGCTCACAATTCTTCAAATGTTCAAATATTTGTCACCTTTTCAAGATATAGCCAAGCAAGAAATATGGCTAGACTAAAACGATGATATCGGCACTGTCATAATTTTAAACCGGCGTTGCACCATATGCATTTGTCATATTTGTACTGGATTTTATTTGTTACCTTTGTGTGCTTGTTATTGCTGCATAATTACTCTGCATGGGTGCATAAGGCCCATTATTGGTTGACTGACTGACGACGTGACTGACAAAATCCTACATATATTGCAGACCTTGAGGTTGAATACATTTTTCAAGTTCGCGACGGTCCTAGCGTAATTAGTTGCGCCTAGGAGGTCTCGAGATTAGGTACTGTAAAATATCCTATTTATTTTCGAGTTTTTTGGAGCACCCGCCGTGTGTCTTGGATTGCGACGCGCACATGCCCCTATTTATTGTTTCCAGAGCCTGTTAATCTGTAACTTTCTTTTGATCAGTTACTGCATTGACTAAGGATAAAGTTTCCACTCAGATTGCATTCGATAGCAAAGGCAACTACGCTGACTTTTGCTCTTATGTATTTACGCTCACTGGCTACAAATCGACTTCGTACAGTGAACGCAAAGTCGATGCATGTCATTGAACCAAAAGAAGTACCGTCAACAGCCACTCCCAGTAAAGCATGTCAGATTAGTTACTAAATTTCTGAGATTAGCAAGCAGTTGCTATCATATCCGGAGTGATCCATGTGTGTGTCTTGAAGCTGTCGGTTCATAGTATACCCAATAATTTAGAGTTAGGATACAACTGAGGAATGGCAGCTAAAAGCAAATCGTACTGCTGACAACGAAAAATATTTGATGACAACACATGGAACATGGTATATCCGTTTGTCATGCGGCGTCAAAGTGAACAGACTACAAAATAATAAAGAGACTACCGGGTATATAGAAATACTAGGAGATATATCTGATCATCCAGCAGCGGTTTTAACTTAGGAATAATGCACTCTTGCCCTTTAAATTATTGTATGCAATGCCTAGTTCATTGGAATTAATAGCTTCAATCGAACATAGGTTACACATTGCAGCTTTTTAGCATCTATCCGCTTTCTCCACAAATTACTTTGAGCTCTGCGCCTCAAAATAAGATGAGATTGGACATCAAAAACAGGTCTATGATCTGTTCCATTTCATTGTTAATTAAGTTCACATACGCACTCAACGATAAGCATAAACTAATCCCTTTGCTTGATCTAACCTAAAGTTTTCTTGTGAGGTGCGATGTTTCTTAATGCAATGACTATGTAACAACAAAGAGTTTGCATTAGAGATATCATTGAGTGCTTTAAGCACCATGGAAAGCAAGTATGTGAACATCAAACATGGCTAGTTATTAGGCTTTTTCTTTTATTATTTTATTAAATACCCATCCATCGATTAACCGCTTGCCTCAGCATCAATTTGGTGGAAATCGTGAAACACTTCACCTAGTGCAAGACTGTGCATGTTGTTCGTCCTAGAGTGCATTCACTTATGGTAGCCAAAGGTGATAGCGATGCTTCATGAAGCGGCGAGGGTTGTACCAATGTGGTTCCCGAAATAGTTCTCCGTTAAGTAGTTATTATTCTGTTGCTTCATTTGTCGGGTGGTCACACGCCGTGTTTAGTCTTCAGCACTTGAGAAATAGCTTTCTAACGATAGAAAAGCAACCGAGATTTCATTTAACATCGGAATCCGAGAAGCATCGTTTCAATTGTTGACCATTACTGACGCCAAATACTCCAACTTACATCCCGAGTTGAGGTACTTACGTTTTCATTCGTGACCTCTTCGTTGTACTCTAGATGTGTCCTTCTCAACATCAGAAAGTCTTTTGGGTTCAAGGAGTTTAATTTCACATTATGAAAAAGCGACACATATTCTGGCACTTCCACATGGACGTCACAGGGTGATAGGAATGCTGTCTGAAGCATTGTTGACAGCAGACTTTACATATTTGTTGGAGAGAGCAGTGTCAATCGGAGGTGTTTCACCTAGTGTTCTATCCAAGATGTACATGCAAAATTATGCTCTACGATACTACTTTCCGCTGTGACTTACCAGCCGCGCAGCTTGTTTAACGTTAAACACCACTAATTACCAAGGCCGCTGTAGAGACCACACGATTGGTTAGCTAGCCTAGGCGTTTCCTCATAGGTCGATGTGTCAAGGTGAACGCTCCCATCCTCTGATTGGCTCAACCTTTTAAGTAAGGAACCAGCCGGTGGTATACCTTTCTGTAATTGAAGGGGTGCACTGACCAGAGCATTTATGGTAAGCATGTGCTTCAGTGCCAAAACCAAAATTATCCGTCTCAAAGGAACTGATACTTAATGATACGCCAGTCTTCACTCTCACCCCGTGGAAGTATCTATCGTAGTGACTATGGGAGTGAAAGGCCTATCTCCTCGCAACCAAGATATGTGCGTGACTGTCGCGGAGTGCTTAAATACGTTATACAAGTGGATGTTAAAGGTATACCTAGGAACAACCTTAGAGTCAGCACACAGGGGAATGTGGTATTCATTACGGCGAAATACGACATCATCCTAAACTCTACTGACAAAAGCACACACGAGCTGTGTAGGGAATTACATTTACCTATGAATGTGAATTCTAGCACTGTCGAGTGCAATTTTATCGAACCCGGAATCCTGACGATTGAAGCCGAAGCTAGTGAACCAAAAGCACCAATTAGCCCAACAAATCCTCGTTGCGGAAACGAATGGACTCCCGATTTGAGCAGACAATCCAGGAGATTTTTGAAAGCAAACTATCGACCTGCATGCGCTGTCGACCCGAGGCGAGTAACATTTAACGAACCCGTAATTTTGAATAGAAAGCATGATTTTCAGGCAAACACAAGGCAAATTTCTAATCAATCCCCCAACAATTGTGAGCCCTACAATCGGCTGTCGTCTAGCAACTTCATTCCCAGAAGCATCGTTCGGGATGCCAGGGTAAGATCTCCCGAACCTCTTTATTTTCAACAACAACAACAACGGCTAGAAACTGTGACTTCTCCTTTGATAAAGGAAAGTCCAGACCGGTCAAGGAAAGCAATATATTTTCCTCGTTACTCAAATTCTGTGACGCCGAGTCCTGTGCAGTCTCAAAAACGGTATGGGTTCAGAGTAGAAATCGGGACCCACATCACTCCGGATGACTTAACCATCACGAGACATAACGGAGTGCTTGTTGTTCACGCCAAACGTTATTTGCTGGGGAGCTTGTTCCGGTCGCGAGATCGTTCAGAGAAACTGATTTTTGAACACCGAAGTGAACATACGTTACCCGGTAACATAGCGCTGGATAAACTAACAGCCCGACTTGAAAACGGAATTGTCTACGTAGATGCACCATACGTTGCATCAACAGCACCCCAACTTCCCTCTTCGCTATGTGGAACGAACGCTAAGATACCTGTGAAAGTAACCCCGTATCGATTCAGATCCTGATCAGATGTACAAAAAGATTGTGCTTGTCTCGTCACAACGTCTACATGTATGGTGCTTTGGCCGCATCACAGCAAGCAGACAATGTACAGAGCGCAAGTTTGCTTTTCTCTCTTTGCAATATTCCATCAGCATGTAAAATATTTCATGCCAGATAAAGTTATGTACTGATGAAATATACAGATATGCATATGCAGTATTTAGGTTTGTTGATTGTTGTTTTGGATCGATAAGTAGTTTTTTCAATAAGCCAGGTTTGTATCAGGGATTCTGCAAAATAGCATTGTTTGCTTGTTATAACTAGTACCGTTGTAGTCCATTGTATCAAGGGAGGTGATTCACGCTTGCAGGTTGCAGTTGCTACACTGCGAGTGCCTATTAAGGACCTTGCCTCTCAACTTTGCATGTGCAAACCACCAATAAGAATAACGCCAAAACAAATTCCACTTTAAAACGTGCTGTATGTAGAATTGAAATAAAAAATGGAGGCATGGTTAAACATATATGTTGTGGTTGACCGTATATTATAATGGTAGTTGTACATGTTCCAATTACCGGCGTAATCAGACCGAACGCACCACAATGGTGCAGTTCCATCGACACCGATTTCATGAAAGTTTTAGCATTTCCTATCCAATCGTTCTCATCAGTGAATAGGTTTTAACTTCTGTATTCTTACGCTACGCATTAGAAGACTGAACCTGCGCATAACCTGCTGAATGTTCAACAACGCAATTTCATAATTTCGTGAATACGAGACCATTCGGTGAAGCCTTACATCCAATGATTCGTCTTCAGACCATTATACTCTTAAGTTCAAAACAAGTATAATCACCACTACAATCCACTTGTCGCTAAACCCAAAATTTGTGTTGTTATATTTCCTTATCCTCTTCTGCTTTATGTATTGTAGCCAAATTCGCATGCTGCTTGATCTTCTCTATATGTGGCTGGTGCCACCGAAACGTTGAACCATGGCACACGATTTACACGTCACAGTGACAAAAACAATACGATCCGATGCACTTAAAACAACGGCTGCAGGACAGTTAGATTGAGTTCAGTCTACGGAGTCACATGCATAATGTTGCTCCCTGCCAAAAGGTTATTCAGTAGTAAATTTATATATGATGGCCTGTCTACACATCTGCTATAGAGCCAAGCCTGAATTCGGATCCTGAGTTAATGACCTCAGTAAAACTTCATCCGCTATATAGACAAACAGCAGTTTAATATGGGAACAATAGGGCAACTCTCTGTTTTCTGACGGTGCATAATTTTACCGATATGCTCCGCTTACTTCTTCATCTGATCTATACCCAACAGATTGGCTATTATCGTAGCTAAAGCAGCCAGCATATTGGGAAAAATCTTTTCTTCTAAATTTTGTTAAGGCTGTCGTAGGAATTACAATAGGTGAAATAGCTAACTTATTTCACTGTTGAACTGAATTATGTCTATGGGAAGGGGCTGTGTAGACCATATATTTAATCAGCGGAAGAGGCTAAGTGGCGCTACACACACCGACGACTGACACTAGGTGTGTTTCTTGACTTCATGAGTGCTTCCGAAACGTCGATCAATTCATACTGCTCGAAATAGTTGTGCGAAAAGATTTTCCAATGAAATATATGAACATTTACCTGCCTTGTAGTTAAGCAGCACAGGTCACGTCAGCATCCGCAGGGATTTATCAAATATCTTCCCGACAACTGGTGACGTTTGTCTAAATTGCCCGATTTCCACCTTTTTGTTCAAACTCGAATTTGACTCTATCATGGAGTGTTTTCTTGCGGAATCTCCCAATATTGGCGTTGCTGCCCAATCGACTCTGAATAACCACACTACAGTGGTTCCATTATTTGGATTGAGCTTCGCACCTTCAACGTGCAAAGAGTAGTTGCAAGATTACCAGCCACTAATGATCTTTCGACCCTAGACAGCGAGGAACACCTAGTAGTTGATCAATTCACTTACCTTGGTAGCTGCATCAGCAATGATAGGCGCATAATACTAAGATCAGTCCATCTATTTCAAAGGCTAGAACTCTTCTGGAAAACGCAAATGTGTTTCTGTCCATTTGAAAAACCCTGTTTATAAGGCCGTACTAAAGACCTTCCTACTCTAGTGGAATAGAACTTAGCCCTTTTGATTTGAAGGTCTCCGGTGCCTCCAACTCTTTGATCATCGCTGCTTGCGGAGCATTGCTAGTGTCAGATGGCAGCAGCGTGTCTGTGACGACGATGCACATAGAATAGTGTTAGGTGGGGTTAACCAGTATACTTCTTTAGAACTGCAGATACCACTGAATAACGCGTTTGTTTAGACATTTACTGCGCATGCCCGTACCGAAGGAGGTCCTCGTTTCTTTGCCAGATGTTGGGTATTGCAATACTCAAGGAGGACAACATTTGTCTTGGCAGCGAGAAATGAAGCCACTGACGACTAAACTGCGTTCCGTCGGTCCGTCTAACCTTCCTGATAGGAGTACACGTGACCCACCTTGTAGTTGGCTCGGGACGCCATAGCACATGGTTCGCATTTGACACCAGTGGCATGTATACCGTCATATCTTAGTGGGACTACATTTTCAAAGTGTGTCTGCTGCGGGATAATGACCGGTTATGATCCGGGGCAGTGAAACCTGCTAGGAAGCTGTTTTACCGATGCTGCCTTATCAGTACGAAAACCGGCTTTTAGTAACAGTTTGTTGATGACACGAAATATGCTCGCCTTGAACCTGGATGTTTTACGGTGGGTTCCCTTCTCTCATTGCGCAGGTTACTGTGGTTGTGTGGCAGCGAAGCATCAGTTTAAATAACTGCTGTACTGCTATTGATGATGATGCAACAAACGAAAAACTGTAGTGCTAGACATTCCCATGTTGAACAGAACTATAATTTCTGGATCAAATTTTCAAGCGAGAAACACCCGATTTTCATCTGCTTCGGCTATGGTCTTAGTGTTTACATTCATCAACGTTCACTTCAATATGAATCGCGGTTTGTATCGAGATTGCGCATCGCAATCCATTCACACATCAAGTACCTCAAAAGTACCCTCCGGTCCACAAATAGAAAATCCTCACTGCGTTGATGTACTCTGAATTTGAGGTGTCTTTTGGCTAATGAACTGCAAAAAATTTTGTTTGGATGCTCATGAGGCATTTGTGCATCTATCCACTGGCACTGGCAAGTTGAGGTAGTATGGAACACAACAAGCCAAAAATGTCATTGCCCGCCACTAGACGCACATGAGTCGTCTTCATTGTACAATCGATCAAAAGCTACTGGTGCATCACATGAATTTGGGTTCATTAGTGCGCCAAATAATTCATTGACGCAACATTCCAGCTGATCAGCACAGTTCCAGTCGGTAGCCGCTGAGAGAAAAATACAGACATGTTTCCGTAGGTTAAACAACACAATGAGACGTTTGTTGAATGCGCGTCATGCCAAGTTCGACATTACTTTGCTTCAAACCACTGTACGAGTATTTGTGTATGCATCAATCTATTTCATTTTGTAAATTTGAAGCTGGATGCAGCACAGCTCAAAAGGTAATTCTGCTTGGAGTCTCTATGAACATTTGTATAGTTTGCTCTCAGATGATACCTCAGCTTACCAGTTAAAAGCTAGAAACACAAATTTCGCATCGCGCTAATTTTCTATGCATTACATTAATGGTGTGAGTACTCGTACCTCTAGAAATCTGGTAACTGGTTCAAATGGAAATACTTTTGGGTTGCACACGCTACGCGCACTGTTTAGGTCTGCATCCGGTAACCGGTTGTTTTATGAAAAGTATATTGCAGTGTGCCTTGTTTCACTCCTATAATTAAGGCACTAGAAACTGACCACATGAACTATCTTCAACGTTCTTCGGATCATAGTCGATTCATAGGCCTAAAACAACTCATTCACGTGTAAGACATTCAGTGCAAAAATCAAGCATACTAAGAACATCCGTACTATCTTGAAAATGTAAGCCTAAACGCTTCCGTGATATTGCAATAAATTCCCCCGAAACGAACGCCGCGTGCTGATAATTGCAACTTTTTGTTTGTTTGTTATTGCATATAATGTGGTGTATGTATTTGGGATCGCATTTTTTCCAACAGTGAGTTTGGCGGTTGTGGATTAAATACTGGTCTGTTTTCTTTACTAAATAATAATGTTGAAGCTCAAGAAGCCATTCTCTTTTTATCTTTTGTCTACTTGTGCACACATCTATTCGCTGAATCTGAATTTTACTCTTAGTAAAGCAGACGATTGTCGAGGAAATTTGAAATGTTAACTTATGTTTTACCCTTAGAAAATGCGGTGCTAGTTACCATGCCAACTGGCAAATCTGATTTAACCATACAGTGTGGCTTTTTTTATTCCTTACTGGAAGTTGTTTATCTACATTCTGCAAATGCTTTTTTCACTAATCCGTTTGATTAACTGGTTGGTAATGAATAATCCTCGAACACCAAGACGAGTTCGGGTGCAGCTGACGCCTGAGACTGTCGTCTGTAACTGGTTAACACCTTCTTCGTCTTAACGACTGGCGCTTATCAAGCGGTAGCTCAAGAGTGGACGCTACAAATGTTGTTACACTTCTGGTCCAACAATCTTGCTTTGAAAAGTTTATCTGAATCTTTAATTTGTAATGGTAACTTTCTAGTGGAGTGAATGCGAATGTTAACTGTTGCTCATCGGGATAATCATGGGACAGTTTCAATAATTCGACAGAGAGCAAAAGCTGTTTTACCGGCGGATACGGTACCAGCCAACGTGTTGGTCATGGATCAATCATAGTGCACCACCGCTCAATACGGTATTGTAGTTGTAGGCCGGAGTCACGCAATGCAGCACTTAGAATGCCGTAATTATAAACATAAGTACATTCCAATAAGAATTTCATCTCGCACACTGCGTGCGCCAAGGTACCATGACTTTAAAATATTCCTCTGAAATCATGGCTTGTACAGTCACGGTGCTTGATAGATGGTTTGCAAC